CCGACAGGCGGAGGCAAGAGCTTGCTGTTCAGCGTGCCGGCTTGCTTGACGGACGCTGGGGTGACGGTGGTGGTAGTGCCGTATCGAGCGCTGATGGAGGACTTGGTGAGCCGCATACGAAAGTGCGGCATTGACTGCATCAAGTGGAAGCACAGAGAGAGCAATCTGGCGAGCGTAGTTGTGGTCAGCGCAGACATGGCTGGTGACACAAGAAGCAACGGCAACTTCATAGGGTACGCGAACATGCTGCACAGCAAAGGGCTGCTGCGGTGGGTGGTGGTGGACAAGTGTCATCTCATCTTCACGTCGAGCGACTGGCGGCCGAAGCTGGCAGAGTTGAAGAACTTGCGGCTGCTGCCGTGCCTAGCCAAGATAAGGGCGCGGGGAGGACACCGAACCGCGGCAAAAGAGGCTTAGTGTTAGGGTTTAACCCCTTTTAAGCGATCTGCTTTAGTGGTCCCCTGCGTTACCCTAACACTACTAACCTACTATTACTTTAGGCCTAAATTAAAAAATATCTTATACAAACTTAATTCCTATATACTTTGCACAGCAACGCTAAGCGTTTTGTCTATCTATTTAGCAAAACTTAGTGCTGTTATAGTAAGTAGGGTTAGGGTTTCTGTGTAACAGGCTAGGCCTGATAGTAGCGCCTTAGCGCTCGCTAGCCTCAGCCAACCTCTGAGAGGAGGTGCCTGCCCAGCTGTACCCCCAGTTAGGAGGTCCTAATCTTGACTAATTGTGTAACCTCTGCACAGAGGACATAAAAGTCTGCAGACCTCTGCCTGTAGCCACTCCTTAACAAATCTATTTAATTTATACTTGCAAATAGCCTGTAGAGGCTAGCTCCTTACATTCTGCGCGATAGAGCTTGTGTGGGACAGCTAAGCAAACAATTCAGGCAGCAGCAAAAACAACACTGCAAACTCCTATAGATGGCCCTAGCAGCTCACACTTAGCAATTCTAATAACGTTTTCTGCTTTCTTAAAGGCTTTAGCGTTATTGTTTGCAAGCAGCACTGTACAGCAGTTGTGAGTCTTGATGCGCATCTCCGCAAATATCATGCTGCATCTGCTGCGCTACGGCGACAGATACTTGAGTGCTTCACTCAATTTAAGACTGTCGCTCTAAGCGCGATTGAGCTCCTAGAAGAGCCCGCGCAGCCAATAGAAGAGCTAGGAAAGCCGCTTGATGGTGCGCAGTGCGAGACATGCAGCTGGATCACAATTAACAAAGATGAGATGCGCAAGCACTGCAAGCGAAATCATGAGCAAGCGTGGGTAGGAGAGAAAAGCTTGCTCTATAGGACTGTGAAGGTGCAGAGCTTTTTCTGCACTAGAGGACTGCAGAAATACTTTGTTATTAGATTTATAGATGCTAGAGATCCTGAAGACGCTGCAATGGAAACCTACGTCTAGGCACAGCTTGCTGAGTACAGATTAACACAACAAGAAATTAAGGAAGAGCTGCAAACACTAGAAGAAGCTGCAAAGACTAATAAGATAGGATAGTTTAAGCGCATAGGCTGGCTAGAGTTCTTTAAGGACTAGAATCTCGCTTATCTAGCGCATTAAGCCTGCCTGCCCAATCACAGCAAGCGCAAGATTAAGCTGGCTGCTCAGCTGACTAAAGGGCTGATTAAAAGAAGCGTGAAAGGACTAGCTACGCTCCCGCAAGAGTTAAGGCGCTGGCTGCGGAGCGCAAAGCGAGAGGAGCTAGACGTGCGACCATTGGCGCGCTTGCAGAATCTAGAGAGTTAGGCAGTGTACACAAGCTACATGATGAGGTTCGTCAGCTTCTATCTGCGGGTACTAGCCGACGAAGAGCAGCAGATTGTGCGCTTTGGAGAGCAGCAGAATGCAGCCGCTTATGCAGAAAGCTGCTCAGCATCAGGCAGCGAGGAGGACAGCGAGGAGGACAGCGAGGAGGACAGCGAGGAGGACGATGACGGCAAGAGCAGTAAAGCTGATAGCGACAGCCCGCGGCCCCGACGTACAACACGCAATCAAACGCAGCTAGATAGGGTGAAAGATGCACGTGAGCT